CACACATCATTCTAACAATGAAATAAAGTCTGCAAAAATACACAGAGCATTTTTCAAAAATGACAAGTTCAAACAGAAGAAAAAATCCAAAAACTGCTCTATTGGGCTTAGGTATGGAGTGATCTCTAAAGATTTTGAGTAGCAAGTTGGGCAAAAAGAGGTCTTGCTCATATCTTGTTGAAAACCTGAAAAATTCTTGCAATGTTTGAATATGTCACTCATTTTCACACTTTGCGAGTTGAACATGTTTCTCTGCAATTTTGAGCAATCAAAACTCCTTCAATAGTTTTTCGATCGATGTCTGTTTTGACCTGAAATTGTTCATCAGATTATCAAGCTACTTCTTGCAGATCGTTCTTACTCGATGATACTTTTTGGGTTCAGACAAGAGTTTTCCAGTCTGTACACAAGCCCTCTCCGACCGTCGGACTCTGAAGCTAAATGACCCTCGATCGGATGATCGTGTTATCCGTACAGATATAATGGATATCTATCAAGAACTGATTTAAACTAAAACATTATAACATTAAATCTAATCATGATACTGAAACATACGTACTTAAAACTTAATATTGATATTGATACTAAACATACGTACTTATGTAAAGCTAAACATATAGATGTGTGATTTAATTAAGCACCTATTATAACTAATGCCATATTCAATAGCTATTTAAGAGTCTCTGTTTCTCTCATGATTTCGAAGTCAGATTCGAATAACTTTACCAATTGAATTTAAGTTGTTAACAGATTCTTCTTATCTCTCTTAACCATAGTTTATGACTCCTCTCTCATTTGGTATCATACAATAATACCTACTTTCCATGGGTGTAACAGATCGCAAGAACTGCTTTTGTTCAAACATTCCTTCTCTAACTGAACGCACTCCTTGCCCATTCTAATCGCGTTTTTGTTCCGACTTTCGATACGAAAGTAACGGAATATTTGTGCTCGGGGTGGGTTTTTTTTTCTTCAGACAAATTTCGACTTTTTAACTAGCCATTTTTGACGGAATTTTTTTATATCATTCGAAAGCTATTGTTGTCCTGAGCTCAAATTTGAAAAGATATTTCACCTGTGATCATTTTTCATAAAGTTATGGGGGTTTAAAGATTGCCATTTTGGCCAATTTGGGACAATTAACGCGCGATATATTTCGCGCTATTAACGCGCAAGCGGAGATTTAATCCGTCTTAAAATCTTTCCAAATTGGTTGAAAGAAGCTTATTTTCCATAATTGATTTGTTACAAGGAGCTAAATTTATCTTTTTGTACTTTATATGGCGTGTGGGGTGATGATTTTCATAAAAAAACTTCAAATTTTAGAATTTTTCTTTTTTATGTTTTTACTTTTAATTTTTTGATGTTTTTACTGCTCTATAAAACCTTAAAAGGCAGTCGAAACCTTCAGGGCTTCGCCCTGATACGAGCAGTTTTGTTACTTTTACGCTGAGGTTGATACAGTTGACGACAACGTATACCATTCAATAGCTACAAAGAATTCTTCTTACTGTTTTGTAGTAAAAATGTACTCCTCTCTCATTTTACTTACAACTTCGAAAAAAAGTTCCACTAACATCAAAATTCAATCGCGGTTGATTTACAATTTACATTAAACTGATTTGAAGCAGCTATTTCAGGTCAATTCAATCAAATTTTTTCCGAACTTTATTCCAATTTTTTTTGCCGTTGAAATGAAAAACGAAAATTAACAAGAAAAAAATTAGCAATATTAAAGCAATGTATAAAACAAAAAGGCAACATTTTTTCTAGAACAATAAAAAACCAAACTAAAATTGCACAACTTTTTTAATTTGTGTATTTTTCATTCGTGCTTTCCACGAGTGTTTCAAATCAGATTTCGAGATAAGCAAAAAGATGTTTCCTCATTCTCAAAGCGTCTCTCTTCAATTTCAAGTTTGACATGACCAAGTTTATTTGTTGTTCGCTGAGATAATTCTCTCTGTCATCATGCATCCTTTGTTTCATAAACTATCATATCTCTGTAGCCCAGTTAACATTTTTGGTTGCTAAAGTTTAATTGAAACTCATATTAAATGAGTATAAGATAATAATTTTATTTTTAGGTCGACCAAATTGATTTTCTGAGCTTTCCCAAACCATTGTAAAGATCCTAATTTTACCACATTTTCTGCGCTGCAGGCAAATTTTAGAAAAAAGGCGAAAAACGGCGTTTTTAGGCACTTTTTGGAACATTTTGACTCCAAAAAATTGGTCACTCCCCCCTCAAAAATTAGTATATGTTGGCGCCAAAGGCGCCCTAAGAAAAATTTTAAGGCCAATCAGCCTAAAATAGAAATCTCAAAATAGTACAGAGGGGGGCCCTTTGAGTCGGCAGGGGGTCGAATCCCTGGGGAGGGGCCTCCGCCTCCACGCCCCCTCCCTAACCCGGGTTGACCAAAAAAAAGTCATACATTTTTCATATATGGAAAAATGCTAATCATACCTTTTTCATGCAATTCCATAAGTACAGAAAATTGCATGAAAGGTCTATGATTAGTGTTTTTCCATAGATGAAAATTGTATGACTAGCATTTTTCCATGAACCAAAAATATGATTTTTTACATTTTAACTTCTCAAAAATTAAGGTTGTGTTCGTAACCGAACACAAATGACATAAACCTTGGTTACTCAAACGCAGTAACCAAAAGTTTGGCCGTCCTGCATTAAAAACGCATTGGAAACAGCCTGAAATGTATTACTTCTGTCTCACACAAATAATATAAAGAAAGTAACGAACTTTTAAATTTTGGCAAAAATTTTCAAAAGTGATTATTTCTAAATTTTGAATTTTTAAATTACCAGACATTGATCAAGGCATAGAAAAACATGTCATAAAAAAAAGAAGAGTTTTAAGCGTTTTTGAAAAAAGTTATGAGGAGAAAAGAAAAAAAATCCAATATTAGTATATCTAAGACTACGTTATACACACAAAAAGTTAAATTTGCATGCAAATTTTTTTTTTCAAAAATTTTTTATTTGAGTACGAAAATCAATTCGCTGTTGAAAAAAACACAAAACAATTTTGGGGGCAATTTCAAAAATAATTTTGTCGTCGCCATCAAAAAATGCTAGTCATACATTTTCCATATATGGAAATTGTATGATTAGCATTTTTTTGACAAAAAATTTTTCTTTTTTATGTAGTACGATACACCGAATTTTATGCCAAAACAAGAGAAAAGTTTTTTGAAAATTCGACGACACCATGTTAGCAAAATGTATGAAATTTGTATGACTAGTATTTTTTCATAGACTTAGTTTATGGAATTGTATGATTAGCATTTTTGATCTATGGAGGTCAACCCGGGAAATCCGCTACTGATTTCAGGAGCATGTGAACAATCATCCCCCTTCTCGTTCACAACTGGTTTAGGGGGGGAGTGTTCACATCAGATTATTGTGAAATTACTTGTCCTTTGTTTGTTGGTAGGGGGAGGGGGAATGGTTTATTTGGTCGATATAGGTGAATGGGCTGTCATGCTAAAGCTGTACTACAAATGACAGTCTTGAATAAATTCGATTTCGAATTTTTCGAAGTTTATCTCTCGCAATTAGACTGTTCAACAGTTATCAATTTGTTCACGTCCACAAGTCCAAGTCGCTGAATTTTTGCCTCAATCGCCTTCAGTCTATACAAACTAGGCTTCGGGTGTCGCGCCAAAATCCAAGCCACACCTAACTTGAAAGGACCCGACTCTTCACAGTAATACAGCAGCGCAAACTCCGAGTCCACATGCACGATATAAAAATTGGGTGTTTTTTCTTTTGCTTCTTCTGCTGGACCCAGATGGAACACGTGTCTGGTGAGTCGAACAACTGGCTCCGCTTCCAAGTATTTCCCAACAATCTGACCTTTCTTCAAGCCTCGCATCTTCAACACCAATTTCCAACCTAAAACTTTTCGTACGAATATGAACTCAATTTGATTGCATGTCTCTTCGTTTGCTTTTCCTGTCGACTCGGCTGACTTCTTGATTTCGTACCACCGTCCCTTCAACTTATGATGAACTTCGTTATCGGCATTCACAGAAACAGAGCAGACGCCATAGTCCAGATCGGCAATCGCGACCAAAGCCAACTTAAACGCCAGAAAATAGAACAACAGTAATTTATAATTAGTCATTGATAATAAATGATGTGAGGACCAAATTTCATCGAAATTTTAGAAGAACACTTCAAAAAAATTAACTTATGATTTAGACTATTTTAAAAGATGCTTTACAGCTTTAAAGGTAAATAGCACGATGCGTTATTTGAGCTTCGAATACTTCATATTTGAGTAACCTATCAAATATTAAATTTTATAGCACAAAAACTGTTTGAGGTTATATGCCAAAACCACCGAAAGTTTTCAACCAGAGCTTATGAAAAAGCAGAAAAAGGGTTAAGTTTTGAGTTCAGTAAAAATTTTAGGAAATCAAGTTTGAGAGTGGAATCGTTTCCCATTCTACTCCTACTCGACTAAATAAGTCGACAATAGTGACAATTACCATTCGTGTCCTTCTTAACACTTCACAAAGGAGCAGACAGGTTAAATGATATGATGCCTTTGTCCTTCTGATACTTTGAATAACCGGGAATTTAATGCATCTCCGCCACCCTACCCTGATTGCCCAGAGGGTCCTCCCTCTAGTACTATTTTAACAACGTATGTATTTTTGGTCGATCCACCCTGGATTTTTCTGAAGCCGCATTTGGCACCAAAAAACTGGCCTGCGACTCAAAATGGCAAAAAATGAGTCTATTTATTGTTTTTTAGAGAGATCGGAAAATCAGTCTGATCGGCCAAATCGGCCATCGGAAAATTGACAAAAAATTAAAATATGTTTTAGAAATACCCTTGAGAAAATCCTAGATCCGCCCTGATTATCAGTGATGGAGTTGTGACACAGTATCAAATTTGGCAAACAATTACAAATAAATTAAAAAATCTGTTAAATCTTTTATTCAATCGGTTCGTTCAGTTTTTACCAGCTGTTCCATATTTGAACACCACTTATATTCTACTCTTACCTAAAATACATATGGATGAACTGCTCCAAAAAATCCAATTTACTGCGCTGATTGAAGCACGAAAATTGACTGTCAATCTCAGTGAACCGTTGGCAGCTAAAAACATAATTCAAACTCTGAAAGTTAGTTTACTTTGAACAAGAGTAGCAAAAAATTCATACTCTGATTTTTCGCTAAGTTACCGGAATTCATTTGCCGAGGAAACCAGCTTTTTGAGAAAAAGTTTCAAGCCATCAGAAATTATTTAATTCAGAGGAGGATCTAGGATTTTCTCGAGGGGGAATTTTCAAAAAAAAACTCGAAAATTTTGTCGACCAAATTGATTTTTTGAGCTCCTCGAAATCATTATAGAGAGCACATTTTGACAAAACTTTCTGCGCCGCAGTCAGTTTTTTGAAGAAGCAGGCCAAAAAAGGATTTTAAGGACTTTTGGAAACTTTTGACCAAAAAATAGCGTTTTTTCGGCAAGCGCTCCCCTTCAAAATTAGCATATTTTGGTGCCAAAGGCTCAATTAGAAAAATTTTTGGGTCCGTCAGGTAAAAATGGATATCTCAAAAATGTACAAAGAGGGACCCTTTGGGTAGGGAGGGGGTCGAACCCTTGAGGCGGATGCGTCCGCCACTTCGTCTCCTTTTTAATCCGCTGGTGATTTAATTCAAACAGTAAAGCTTACAACTGATTTTTACGGCAACGGGTCTAGTTTTTTTCCATTGTATTTATTTATTTATAATGCAATAGGCATTACAAATTTAAATCACAATGAAGTAACTCAAAAAATCTGAAGGCTTTGATTGAATGCCCCTAAGAATCATTATAAAAATCATTTTAAGGATATCAAATAGAGGCGAAGCTGCGCTTTGCAAACACTTGCCATAACACGACCAAAAAGCAGTGCTATCAAGTGAAATAAGCTTAAAAAAAAGAAATAAACCTCGAATAAGCAAAAACTCAGCTATGTGGCGGAGTCGAATCTGCGACCTATTTCAGTCTTACGCACTAACCACTCAGCCACGGATGCTTAAATTGCACAAAAAATAGCCACCAATAACGCAGCTACCTAAGCTAATAATTTGCCATCTGGATGCAGCAAAAGTAGCACCAAATTCAAACAGACAGAACTTAGAGTTTAATCAATTGAAAAACATAAAGCTAAATTATGTATATTTTATGCTTTTTAAAAAATTGCGAGATACATTGAGTTGGAATTTTCTGAAATCGAGCTCTTTATCCTTGTACTGCTGTTTGAAACAAATATATATATTTTTGGTTCATTTGATGAATTAAAAATGCATCAGATGTGTTAAATTTTAACTAATCAAATGTCAAAGCACTTGTGATATTATACTGCTACCGCCGCAGCCTACCGATTCAAAAGTGTCACCAAAAGAAGCACTTTTTTTGCGATTTAGGTTGGCAAAAAATTCATTTTGATACACTTTGCTTCGCAAGTGTAATAATAAAAAAAATTTTACAAATGACGTAAATAGTTAAATCTTTGAAATTAAACTTCAAAAATTTTACTATTGATTTTTTTCACTGTTAATTTGGGAAGCCCCAGTCTGCAATAATCCATGAGAATCTAAAAAAACTCTAGAATGAAGTGAATGTTTTCCGAGAGCTCAATTAGGGTCTACTGTGAATTAGTTGAGGTTTCACAGCTTTCAGCACTGTAAGACACCCTTCTCAAACCAGAGACCCTCCTTCAATGATCTGAACACAATCCGTATATTGTTTCATTCAAGCGAATTAATTTTAGAATTTCTGAACCCTTCGGCTTCCAACTATGCGAATCGTTTTGACTAAAAAGCGTTTTTGTCAAAAATAGAGATAAGAATATAAAGTTGCTGCGCAACTAATTCAAATTACTTGTTATCTTGGATTATCTTTCTCTGACCTCCAAGTTTTGTAAAAAATTCTAGATAGTTTCCTATCATAAGTAGGTTTTCTTCTGGTCTTTAAAAATATTATTCAATCATTCTGAGGTTGGTTTCCTCGTCGTCGTCCTTAGTTATTACAAACAGAAAACTAAAATGTCCCCATCATGGATAATGTCACTGATAGTTTCTTTTCTCAGTGTCACAAGAGCGAATAGCTGTGAATTTATAAGGGAGCCAATGTGTGGAGAGCAGTTCACGGCTGGCAATTACACGATGACTCAGTTTCCTAACCTACAGCATCATGAGCTCGCGTCTGAGGTGAGTGTTCTAATTTTCTTTAGCTATGGGACAATATTGAACATGTATGAAGAACATTTTCAGCCAAACATCCGTGTTGTTTTTCATCAGGATTGAATGGCCCGCCCTTTTTGAATTGAACACGATTTAGCCAAAGTCACCCATTTGCAATTGATTATAACCCATAGCTACATCCATTGAAACGTCTCACTTCCGACTTGAATCTGAAACAAATGGGCTTATTATTCTCACTTTGTGGACTTATGCTCTTAGCTGGGTGGAAACCATTTGGTCATACGCAGTTCCAACTGCTTAATTAAAAAGACCATGCTTACTTTTTCAAACAAGATTCAAGATTATGTTCTAGGCGAGTCAGGAAATGAACAGCTTTTGGCCACTGGTCCAACTGCAATGCTCTGACAAACTACAAACTTTCCTCTGTTCCATCTACTTCCCCGTCTGTCTGCCCGGTTTGGATGGAACTCTTGGCCCCTGTCGAGAGCTGTGCGAGGAAACCAAGTTCGGATGTGGCCCCATCTTGAAGTCATACAGTTTTGAGTGGCCGTTTCCATGCGAACAGTATAAGAAATGCTAGCCCCATTTTCTGAATCAACAAATAATGTTAAGCCATGAATCAAAACTGGGCAGTTAGTTTGTGGGAGATGTGCATTTGGGTTGCATCTATTTCAATTTAATCAATTTTGACTGAATTTCTTTTGACCCGGATAAGTTTGAGATTTGAAACATTTCCCTGATGGTAAAGCTCATTTTAAAGGACAATATTCAACCTATTATACTGTTTTTTTTTTTAAATTCTAGACTAAAACTAAAATCCTACTGACAGATTTTGCGACAAAAATACCACAAGTGATTCATTATTGAAGAAATAAACTTGTTAATACCTATGTTATCTAATTAATCTAAATTACTTAGTAAGTTATCCAACAAGACTGCTCGTATCAGGGCCGCCCTGAATAATCTGACTGCCTTTTAAGGTTTATGGAGCAGTAATAACCTAAAAAACAATTAAATGATGTAATAAAATAAAATTAAATTTTTTTTCCCTAAAATTTGAAATTTTTAAAAGAAAATTATCCCCCCACACGCTATATAAAGTACAAAAGGATAGATTTCTTTCCTTGTAACAACCCGGGTTGACCAAAACTTCTTATCATACAATTTCCATATATGAGAAACTTCTTGTCATACAATTTCATACAATTCCATACGTACAGAAAATTGTATGAAAACTCTATGATAAGCATTTTTCCATATATGAAAATTGTATGATAGGTGTTTTTCCATAAACCAAAAAATTTGATTTTTTTCTCTCTAAATTTACTTTCTGGAAAAATTTTCGGTTGTGTTTGCAACCGAACACAAGTGACAAAGACCTTGGTTACTCAAAACACCAAAGGCTGGACGGTCTTGCATTTACAATGCATAGAAAACGACCTGAATTTGGCTTTCACAATTCATATAACAAAAGTAACAAACTTTTATTTTTTGGCGAAAGTTTTTAATGATGATTATTTTAAATTTTTGAATTTTCAATTTATCAGACAATGATCAAGGCATACATTATCACCCCATACAAAAGGAATAGGAATTTTTAGCGTTTTTGAAAAAAAAATTTTCAGTGAAAAGAAAATATCAGCCAATTTTATCGTATCCAGGACTACGTTATGCACACAAAATATTAAATTTTGCATGCAAAAAATTTTTTTTGAAAAATGTTTGCTTGCGTACAAAATTCGATTTGCGGTTGAAAAAAAAACAAAAAAATTTTTGGGCCAAATTTTTAAAATTACTTGAAAAATTTTTTGTGTCGCCATCAAAAAAATGCCAGTCATACAGTTTCCATATATGGGAATTGTATGATAAGCATCTTTTTCAAAAAACGAAAACCTCGGTTTTATATCTCGAGACTGTTTTATTAGAATCAAACAGCCACAGAAATAAATTTATACCAGTTTTCAACCATTTTTAGAAATTGTATGAAAATTGTTTGACCAGCATTTTTCCACACACTTGATGTATGGAATTGTATGATAAGCATTTTCGGTGTATGGAGGTCAAAAAAGCCGGGTCAAAAACAAAATGTACTTTTTTCATTAGAAATACTACAAAAGTTGATAGAAAAGAGAAACAAGACTGCTCGTATCAGGGCGAAGCCCTGAATGTTCCGACGGCCTTTTAAGGTTTATGGAGCAGTAATAACATTTAAAAATTCAATGAAATAAAACAAAATCAAAAAAAAATTCTAAAAATTTGAAATTTTTTATGAAAATCATCCCCCCACACGCCATAGAAAGTACAAAAGGATAGATTTCGCTCCTTGTAACAAACCAATTATGGCAAATAAGCATCTTTCAACCAATTTGGAACGATTTCTAAGAAGGATTGTATCTCCGCTTTCGCGTTAATAGCGCGAATTATGTCGCGCGTTAATTGTCCCAAAGTGGTCAAAATGGCAATCTTTAAACCCCCATAACTTTACAAAAAATGATCACAGGTGAAATATCTTTTCAAATTTGAGCTTAGGACAACAATACCTTTCGAATGATGTTTGTGAAAATATGTCAAAAATGGCTAGTTAAAAAGTCGAAATTTGTCTGAAGAAAAAACCCACCCCGAGCACAAATATTCCGTTACTTTCGTATCGAAAGTCGGAACAAAAATGGCAAAAAATTGCTAACTCTTTTTCACTGTAGTATTGGAAATACTACACGGACAAAAGACCATTGTCTAAATTGTTTATTTTGTTATTGTGTATTTAACGACCCAATTCAAAACTGGAGCCTGCCATTTAAATAAAAGCCTCTTTACATTAAATCAGAAATTGACTGATTTATTCTTTTTGGGACTATAAAAATTTATTTTGTAAATCCAGTACTTTTGAATTACTCGTCCAGTTTTTCTCATTTTTCATGCTCAGTATATTAAAAGGGCGGCGATTACTAACACGTCCCTTTTAACTTTAACTTTAAACAAGATGGATAAATTTTTAGCAGTCTTACCGGCTGCACCGGAATTTTCCTTGCTTTAAATAAGTAGAGATGCACCTGCAATATGATGCATCAGAAATAGTAACATGAATTTTTAATAAGACTAAACTGAATGCTGCGGTTATAGTCAAAGGGGACTAATAATCTAAAGATTTTTGATTTTAAAAAATAAAATAAAATCTAGTTGAAAATTCCCTAATGAGAAAGGCAGAATGAAACCTGAATACTTTAAAATAAATCTGCCGCCGGTTTATGCTTACGAGCAAAAAGACTGGCCTGAAATCTTCAGTGTTTCATTTGCTCAGCCAGCAGCAAGTCTTATATCTTAACAACTTCATTTTTAAAGTAAATAATTTTTCTCTTTCACTTTTACAAAAATGTAAAACTAGTCTTCTTCCAAATAAAACAGAGAAAAAATTCTTGTTCTAAAATCGAAAAAAAACTATAAATCGAGATAAGTACAATCGAGGAAACCCGGATCACAAGGACGAAACGGACCATAGTACTGCTGACTACCCAAGAGAAGTGGATTCACCCAAGAGTGACTCGAGAGTACTACACAATCGTCGACCTTAGTAAAAAGATAAAATATTGATGAACAAATAAGAATAATTAATCCACCCCTCCTAGGTATATTTCTTTAAGCTGTTCGATTGATATATATAATCTAATAACCCTGTGCTTTGTATTTACCCAGCTAATTAATTCATATCTTTTCTAACTATTGTTTCTACTTTAACGTTTGTCAAGAAAATTTGACGATCTAAGGTAAGACTCATAACTTAGGATAGATTACACAGCAATCAACCAGCAATTATCGCTTAGTAAATCACAAACAGCAAAATGGTTTGCTTTTTTTAGTTTTTTTTATTATTAAAAACAGATTGTTACCCAACAAAATTTGGAAGGAAAAAGTTGAAGCGATAAGGAAAAATTGACCATTAAATTGTTTTTGTAAGAATATTGGTAAAAAACATTCAGGAATATTAGTACCAACTTTCCTTTTTACACGCCATAATCAGGAGTGATATTTTTTTCAAAAGTGTGCCGTATTCGTTTTTGAGATTTGACGAAACTGGGTTTTGCCTGGCTATAAAAAACAATTTTAGTACTTTGCTTTTAGACTCGATTTCTTGCAATTTGATATTAGGAATTATTTTTTCAAGATTGTATAGAATGGCAGCTTCGTCTTATTCAAATTATACAACTAACAAAATGCAGCATTTTTGTGTTTTGATACACACAAAATCGTTTTGACTGATTTTGATTATTTTGCTGGCTTTTAACACAATTCTTTTCACAAAACGCCAATATCTTGTCCGCATAAAAACTATTCGTCCCATTTGTTCAGTATGGGCTCGGAATACCTTCAATATTGGTTCAGCTACTGAAATAAGAAAGAGAACAGAAACAAGGCAACCGCGTCAAACACCTCTTTGAAGGTCAACTTTCTCGGTTAGGCAGCCGTTTTTCTAGATGTTAGCTTTTGTTTTCTGATGCATTCGCATTATAACCAACTTCAATTTGTTGGGCATCTTGCTTTTTCAGAGTAAAGTCAGCAGCAAATTTTTCAGTCTTCAGTGATCATATGAGATAGTTTTTTGTCACAACTGAGGAGACTGATAAGGCGATTTTCGTTCACAGACTTAAAAACTGTTGCTTTTGATAAAATTTTGATTATCGCCTAGAGGAAAAAGCTTGCTAGCTTTTGCTTCTCCAACGTTTTTCTAAAAATGTGTTGAAAAGTCGACCAAAACGGCGTCTCAGTCTTGCTTTAGTACTGAGGTAATTCCGTCACGACCCGGAATGGTAGATTTTCAGTTTTCCAATCCCAATTGAAATCTCCGTGCTAGTGATTTTATCTTTCAGACCATCCAATGTTTTTTTTTCGTTTTTCTTTTGGAAAAATCTGATAATTTCATATCTTTTTGGTGACTTCATCGGCTGTTCATTGTAAAAAGTTTCGTAGTTTTTTGAGCTATTTTTTATAAGTTCTTTGTTGGTGTCAGTGTCAATCACTTCAGTTTCAGTTACCATCTTTTAATTTAAGCTACTCGGCCTTAAAAAGTTGGCCCGATTCTTCACTTCTTCTGGATTTCCTTGGTATCGTTCCTGCAACGTATACGTCCGAAATCTGACAAGTGTTTCTTCCACTCCTGGTCATCTAGCTGTTACAAAATCTCTTTTAGATGTGCATATTCTACCGTGCAAGTATTCTCTAGAAGAGGCGTGCTTTGTCTTTTCACTTGTGCCCGGTCAAGAAAGGCTCATCTCAAAAGTCGCGAAGCCTCTGTTTCTCTGGCTCATAGTCTTGTAAAGTTCCGGATCACTATAACAATGTGGCTTGTTATAAACGCTCAGTAGATGTCAGTTGGTTGCTATTCAGCCTGTATAATCCTGAACCCTTCTATATGTCATCATTGCTGAAACATTGATGAACCTCATGCTCACTTCCTTGTTTTCTATGCGTAATGATTTGATAGCTGCCATTTATATGGTGGGTGAAAAAACTAAGGCAACATTTTGTTCCGGTTCTGATACAGTTATGAGTCATCTAAGGTTGCTAAATTATCCAACTGCATCTCGTCTGTCGTCGGTTTCAAATATTTGAATGTTTTAATCTGAGTGGTATATTGCCAATGGATGCAATTCAGCGGTTAC